GTTCGAATACCCACACTGCCAGGGAAACTCACTGGGTGACTTTTGTCCGGTGACTCTCTCTCTCTCTTTCTGCCTCACTGACCTCATAGGGCTGTGTGAGAATAAATGAAGGGGGCAGAATGATGTTGTAAGCCTTGAGAAGCCAGTTTGGTGTAGTGGTTGAGTGTGCGGACTCTAATCTTGGAGAACTGGGTTTGATTCCCCACCCCTCCACATACAGCAGCTGGATGACCTTGGGTCAGTCATAAAGCTCTTTCAGAGCTGTTCTCTCAAGGACAGTTCTCGAAAGAGCTCTCTCAGTCCCACCTACCTCACAGGGTGTCTGTTGTGGGGTGGGGAAGGGGAAGGAGTTTGTGAGCCACTCTGAGATGCCTTCCTGTAGAGAAGAGTGGGGTTTAAATCCAATTTCTTTTTGGTGTAGAGTCTGGTGTAGAGAGAGCCAGTTTGGCGTAGTGGTTAAGTGCGCGGACTCTAATCTGGGAGAACCGGGTTTGATTCCCCACTCCTCCACTTGCACCTGCTGATGTGACCTTGGGTCAGTCACAAGCTGTGGCACAGCTGTCCTTGAAAAAGAGCAGTTTGTGTCAGAGCTCTCTCAGCCTCACCCACCTCACAGGGTTTCTGTTGTGGGGAGGGGAAGGGAAAGGAGTTTGTAAGCTGCTCTGAGACTCCGAGTGAAGGGCGGGGTATAAATCCAATTGCTTCTTCTTCTTCTTCTTTGGTTCCCCATTAGAGAGGAAAAATAGCCTATTTATTAACATCATCTATACCCAGCTTTTCTCCCCCAATGTGTTGGTGTCCCATTAGCAAGTCTAAATGCCTCCTCAGTTTTACCAATCAACTTGCCAGGATTCCTTGCAGGGAAGCCATGACAGGTGAAGAGAATATGGTGAGTTTAGAACTCTTTTTTCTCCCCCCCCCCCCGAGCTCTGGTAGAAATACTTGTGGTTAGCCCTGCTGTAAAGAAAAGCTGTGGTCTACCTCAGTGGCCTTCTGTCTAAAGCTGCTAAACAGATATAACCTTAAGCATCTGCCAAGCAAGGACGCATGTTATGCATCTGATGAAGTGAACTCTACACCCTGAATGCTTATTCTGGAATAAAAGCCTATTCGCCTCTCCGATTCCGCCAGGTCCCTGTTTTTCTTCTGGCTGCCACGGATTAATATGCCCAACTCTCTTGTTTTTGTTTTATTTGTTTTAAAAAAGCATTTGTTTAGTACCAAGACTAGGCCAGGCCCCGTGCGCAGAAGAGGGGAAGGCCCCGCCAGCCAGCTTTCAGCCTCCATGCCGTGGCCCAAGCCCGTTAAGCTCTCTGGCAGTTGATCTTAAGCGGATTAGCCACTCTTGGTGACAAGAGGGCGCAGCTGTTTGGCGCCTCAGGCCCCGGCTTCCTTTCCCTTGGTAGCAGCTCTTCCTTCCTGTGTGGTGGCTGCTCGGCTGTTTTTATTTTTTGCCCCTTGTACATGGAATGCCAACAGGAAGGTTGCAGTGGGGGAGAACGCCAGTTTCCAGGCGACAGGCCGACAGTCGTGAGCTGTCAGCTTTTCCCAAGGCCTTGAGCTCAAAGAAGAATTTCTGCAGCGAGTCCAGAGCTGAGCAGAGGGTCCCAGGTTCTGGCAGGACAGCCGGAGAAGCTACTGGTCGCTCCGGGGCCTCTAAAAAGATGCAGAAAGAAGCTGGTTTGTTTGGTCCCCCCCCCGCCCAAAAGTTGAAGATGGTATGATCTATCATTGGTTATAGCCAGGGTCCCCAGACTTTTTCTTTTTAGTATTGTGTGTGTGTGTGTGGGGGGGGTGAGCCTGGAAGTCATGGTGACTTCTGGCGACCCTTAGTGGGGCTGGGACCAGAGGTCATTTCGGGGGGGAACGAGGGGGATCGCAGTTCCCCCGGGTGAGGTACGGGGGCGGGGCACATGACGAAGCCCCGCCCCCCGCTTCCGGCCGCCCCGCTTCCGGCCCTCATTCAGCCAGGAGGAGGCAAGAGAAGAGGGAGGGTAAG